GCAGCAGCAGCCGCAGCTGCAGCAGCAACACGAACAACAGCAGCACAAGCAGCAGCAGCAGCGGCAGCAGCAGCAGCAGCAGCATTGCGGCTCTTTTTTTGCGGTTTTGTTTGATGGTTGGTGCATGTTGAGTTTGCTGCTGCTACGATTATGTTTTTCTTTATTTATATATTTAATCCTTATTATATAATATCTATAAAATATAAAAATATATAATACTATTAAATATATAATATATAATTTATACAATATATATAAACAATTTATTTCTTCAAAGACTGAAATTCACAAGACCATTTGCTGCGGACTTCACATCTACACCGCATACAACTTAGGGTTTAGGGTTTAGGGTTTAGGGTTTAGGGTTTAGGGTTTAGGGTTTAGGTTTTGATTGCTTCTTCGCTTTAGTGAAGCATGATGCGTTCTTCTTTGTTTCTTTTTAATCCTTTTTAGCGCCTTATCTACGTATTTATTTATTTACTTATTTTATTTAATTTATTTTGTTTATTTGTGTTTATTTATGTCTATTTATTTACTTCTCTCTCTCCTTTGTCTGCGTTTGTGTTGGGAGTTTGGCTGCAGCTCTGTTCTTTGCTATTTATTTATTTATTTATTTAATTTATTTATTTATTTCGTTTATTTCTTTATTCCTGTCTGTCTTCTTCAATGTTGTGCCTACAGCAGCTACTAGTAGCATACTGCTTGTTAGGGTTTAGGGTTTAGGGTTTAAGTAGGGATAAGCTTAAAACGTTAGGGTTTAGGGTTTTCTGAGGGTTTAGGGTTTGAGGTTTCGCTATACAGCTGTATCCGGGGGTTTGAATTTAGAGTTTAGGGTTTATGACTCAGGATTAGGGTTTAGGGTTTAGGAGTAAATATTGAGGGTTTATGGCAAGAAAGGGGCTTCTTAGGGTTTAGAGCTCACGATAAGGGTTTATGATTCAAGATAAGGGTTTTTATTATACGTTTTATGATGTAGATAAGGGTTTAGGGTTTAGGGGTCGGAGGCTTAGGGCTTATGCTTAGGGTTTACAGATTGAGGGTTCGTAGGCAGTAAAAGAGGTTTAGAAGTGTTTCTAAGAATGGAAGAAGCGCGCTAGTTGCTGAACTTAGGGTTTAGGGTTTAGGGTTTAGGGTTTAGGGTTTAGGTGTGTCTTCTGTAAGAGTTAAGGGTTAGCGCCCGTCTTAAGGCATTTTTCATGTCTAGATTTGGGTTTTAAGGAGAATTTATTGTTTAAATTTATTATTTTTATTTTAAAAACTAAATATTCTTTTATTTCGCTCAAGAGCGGGTTGTATATAGTTGAGGTGTCTGTACAGCTGAACCAATGGCCTCCGGTGGACGAATGAGGGAATTTGGGTTTTAAAAAAGTGTAATAGTTGATTTTTAAACGCAAAAAAGATTTATTTATTTAATTTCTTCATTTTTAAATGTTTATTTGCAGAAAAAAGACTATTTTTACACCCAATTTCCTTCATCAGCTACACCGCTAGTCGGCGGCGGCCAGCCGCGGGCTGGGG